AAGATTTCATCCATCAGCAGTAGTGATGGGGGGGGGACCACCTGGCACAAAGCTGTGAGGCCTATTCTGTTCTCGTGGGTGCGGTTGCTTTCGCAGGGCTCTGCCGTCTGGGCCCTAGCGTCAATAAGAACACTCGAGTAGATTTACTGAGGGTTCAGAGTTTGGGGTTCAGGGTTCTTGGTTCTAAGGACGAAGTAAGGGGTATATAGAGGACTATATAGGAATGCAAGGGCTGTTTCTGGTTTAAGGTTTAGGGACCGTACCCCAGTTGCCTACACTTGTGCATTAACTTCGCCCCTGATTGGGTACAACCCATCATACCGTACCCAGAACACTAGACCCTAAACCCTGTTATAGTAATGGAGGTCGCAGAGCAGGGAGGTTTTATACAACGGGGTGCTACGCAACCCATACGCTCATCGCTATATACTGCACACAAAGCCGCCTAAGCACTATACCTCTAAACCCCTAAACCCTAAAGCCTGCAAGGTCCAGGTAAAGTTTAGGGTTTAGGGCCGTCTTCTGTTTGAGTCCTTGTGGTAGGTCCTGAAAAGTGTGGCCAATTTCTTCTATAGTTTAGCCCTTGCCGATGCCACTGAATACGTATCATGCCTTGCATGCTTGGATACTGCCACCGCCCTCTAACAGTTCCAGACTCTTTCATGCAGCCTGTGTATTTTGAGCTGAACCTCATGCACTGCAGCAAGGTTTTGGCTCTGATTCAGAGTGTTGTGCTTGTAGAGGCGGGTTTCCTGAATGGAGAGCGGCTACCGTTTCGATGTTGGGATGGAGCTGAGCGAAGTTCAGCAAACCGCCACAGACCTACAGGGCTCGAGCGCTCGCGCCAGCGGAAGCCCGCCTGTCCAGTGGGCATGCAGGTATATATTTATATGAGCTATGGTCTAAACTNNGAGTATTATAGGGGTTATCATTGGACTGTTTAGTGGTTTATGCTGGGTTTGGGGATATATCCCCAGTCATGGAGAAACCTATGGACAAGAGCATGGGACATGAAATGTAGACCGGGGTGATGTAACCACTGGCTTTTAGGGTCTAGGTTATATTGGAGGATTTCCAAAATTATTGTTCGGTTTTTGGAGTCTCTATAATAAGGGGCCATGCTAAACTTGGAGCATACAGGCAGCCCTAGTTCCTAGAAATGCCCATACAAAGCTGTTGAATTCCCAACTCTAAGCTCTAAACTAGGTAAACCGTGGAGCAGCCCTAGATACCGGACACCTTAAGGCAGTGCAGCGCTGGCAGACGGGAACGGTTACATGTTTGTGGAGGCGGGGCGGGGCGGGGGGGGGGGNNNNGGGGTTACTTGTGAGCGTTGTTCAGCTCCTTTCATGGACAGTTCCTTTGATAGAGACGCTTGAGATATTACTTGACAAGATGTTGGGGCAAGCGACGCACAATGCTTGGCCAGGTGGTCGCCAGCAACGACAGCACAAGGTGGGGATTTCTCAAACTCCCTTTGGTTCAGCCCTAAACCCTAAAC